AGGCGGACGCGACTCCGGAGAGAAGCTGGGGGATGCCGTGGAGAGCGCACCTTGCTCCCCTTGAAAAAAATTGAGAGGGAAGAGGCAGGCGGAGACCCCTGAGTCTTGGAGTGAGCGAGAGTTAAACTTGGGAAGGCGGGATAGTCGGGCCTGTCAGGTTCCTAATTACCCTAAATCCAAACGCGCTCCCTAATTCCCCCACTTGGCCTAGGAGCCCACAATCTGGTTCTTGGTAGATTCGCCGAAAGAAAGAACGAAAAACCGCCCTAGACCTGAAGGCGCGCCCTGGCCCGGCGGCAGCGCAGGGCGGCGGCTGTGCGGCCGGCGGCGCGTAATGTATGCGGCAGCGACCGGGAGCCCCACGTAGGCCGGCGCTGCAGCCCCGTCTGCTGACCTCTGCGTGATCCCGGACTCTATGAATTATTGATGAGATATGAGCGTTGATTTCCCCTTTCAGGATGCAAACTCCATTATATTGTTAAAATGGCGATTTAATCGTTGAGAATAGCTTTGGTGTGGGTTTTTTCCCCCAACTCATTTGCGCCTCCTTCCTTTTCATTTAACTCTTTTAATTAAATCCTTTAACAGATTTTAATCACTTTTTGGAGGGAGGGGTAAGAGGAAGGGGAAGGACATCACTACCACCACCAACAAACACTAAAACATAACAAGCCCAAATCCATAAAAAATCTTCCACCTAGGGGAAGTTGAAAGGTGGGAAGGAGGTGTTAATCCTTCTAGAAAAGCCCCGCTGGGAACGTCAGCCAGAGGATCCCTCCAGCAGAGGGCTGAGGAAGCTAAGTGACCTGGGAGGTGTTCAGCCCCACTCCCCAGGAGATTTGTGTGTGGAGTCCGACTGAGGTGAATTTATCCCTGCAGAGAAGTAGAGGAACTTCAAAATGGGGGAGGTCCTCTGATTCCTGCAAGGAGGGACTCTCCAGTCCCCGTCTTAGGGCACTTAGGGAAGAAAGGTCCATTCTCTTCAAGGGGCCCCCATTTCCCCCCTCCTCCCCCCAACCAACTCCTTTTCCAGGCGGTGGTGTGGTGTCTGGATTAATTAATATGAATGTGTAACAGCACTCCAGCAATCGATAAATGCTTGCTGTGGGCAGATCCCAGCCCCCAAATCAGATTAGTTTGAATAACTCCAAAAATGGAAAAGGTGACCAGGGGGCTCTCCCCTAAAAGAGGGGAGGGCTTCTTGCTTGCCCTGTCCCCTTGGTTGGCAAGGTTGGCCCCCAAGCTGGGAAGCCCAGGTAGGCCAGAGCCCCTCTGCTCTCAGGGAAGGGCTGCTTTTGGTAGGTTGTGTGGACTGACATCTTCTCCCTTGTTTTAAACCCTTCCTTCTGCCCCAGCATCCCCACCTTAGGATAAAGAAGAGAGAAGTCAGACCAAGAGGGGAGTTTCCTCCGGAATCTGCCCCCACACCTGCCCGCTAGCCCTCAGCAAATAGATTCTCTCTGCTAGGGAAGGGTTAAGTGTCCGTGCTGCAGTTATAGAGAGGAAGCCAGTGAAATATGGGCTCTCGGAACTCCAGGCCCTGCTGGTTTTCCTGTTTACACTTCTTTATACTTCCTCCTACCCCCGTGGCCACAGAGAAACAAAACAAAAAATAACCAAATAAAACAAAACCCCCAAAATCAAATTGTCCACTGACTGGTGTTCAGATTAGCCTCAGAAGGAAGAGGGAAATTGCAGCCTTAATCTCTGGCTGCTGATTCCTGCGCCCTGCCCCAGATTAAGGGTGCTCCGGCAGCCGTGTAAAGCTCCAGGCAGAAGGCGCCAGCCTGTGGCTTGGAGGCCCAGATCCAGCCAGGGAGGTGAAGTGAGTGCCAGAGAAGGGGGAGAAGAATCCTGGAGGGAGAAGTATTTTTCCCCAAGACTGTCCAGGCGAGGAGGGAGGAAAGGTGGGGGGGGGTTCTGGAGCACAAGAGGGAGCTCCTTTGTACCAGAAACTGCTTCCCATCTCTCACCCGCAACCCCCATGCATCCTTGTTGAGGTTCAGGGGAGAAGGTTTCCCAAAGAACCCAAAGTGGGGAAGAGGAAAACCCGGCTAGGGCGTGTTCTTTATGATTGCTTAGAGTCAGAGGAAATCCTCCGAGGGTTTTGACCTCCGCTGGCGGAAGTGGGCACCCCGCCCGGGCCTGCTCTTCCCATTCCGGAAAATCTGTCTAGATATACCCAGCAGATGTCCCTGGGCCACTGGCCCCACACATTCTTTATCAGAGTTTACAGAAGATGAGAAGGGGCAAAAAAAAATCTTCAAGGGCAGACTTGGTGGTCTGGGGTTTCTGAAAGAGGGAGGCAAGGGGCACAGCAGGACCAGGGTTTCCCTGGAGACCCCAGGTTAGAGTTTGTCCCTGCTGCATTCTTCCCCTCAATATATCCAACTTGTCTGCACTGGCCAGAGTGGAAGCCTGAGGAATCTATGCCACCAAAATGTATTAGTATTTTTAATTGTGCTGGGGCTCCTTTGGAAGCTGATCAGAGTCTCCCCATGAAGATCAATGCCCCATCCATTCTTAGAGAGATGTGTCTCTACACCAGATTGAAGACCCCAAACTCTGTCCTCTCTCCTCGAAAAGCCTATGAAGGGTTTCTTCTAAGTCAGTCCTGGGCAAGGAAGGGAGTGCCCAGTTATAAGACAGCTGCTGCAGGAAGGGGCCAGAGGTCCTCTCATGGGAAGTGGGGTGTCTTGTGACCTCTCAAGGTACCCACATGTTCAGTTCCAGGGACCAACTGCGGGCATTGGTAAGCTGCATCAGGAGATAGCAGGAGTGCCAATGTGATTGAACCCCTGGGTCTTAAAATCAGGAGGTTGATTTGGTGGGGATGAAGCCTCTGAATTTTAGAAGAAAGGTTACTTATTCTTAGAAAATAACAATGAGGTGTCAAATCACGAAATCCCTCTAATTTGTGATGCCACAAAACAAAGGTTGTTTTAAGGGTACAATGGGAAGAGAGGAGGGAAAGAAAGAAGAAAGAAAACACCTTTCCAATTCTCCCTCCTAGCTGCTGTGTCCAGCTTTTCCTCTGTACATTCACGGGGGGGGGGGGAGAATGACTGTGTTTTTGCATAAGTTCTACTTATTAATTTCCAGGGATGCTCTAAGCAAGGAAAGGAGCTATTCCTTTCCCCACACTCATGGGCAGAAATCAGGTTTTGGATTTGAAGGGCTCGCCGCCCCCCTGCCCATTCCCCATTCTGATCTCAGGACTCTACTTAGAGCCAAGCAGAAGGGGTGACTTGGGACTAATAGACTGAAGCTGGGAGCAAAAGTGCTTGGCTCCCCATCTTAGATGACCTGATGAGGCTATAGCGAACCAGAGTACCCATTCTAGTGGGGTTCAAAGATCTGAAAGCCAGAGAGTGCCCCAGTACAAGGCAGCCCACAGCCGCTGCCTTAACCATCCCCCCTGCTTTTTCTCAGCTCAGATGTATCCAGATAAAAGTGCCCAGCTGCGTGCCCCACACACCCCTGACAAATGAATGTCATAAAGTTCCTCTCTGGGGGTGGGGAGATGTCTGTCTGAAGATATCCAGCAGTGAAGTGGCCCCCCACAAGAGGCCCTTCTTTCAGCAATACATATTCCCCTCCTGGCCCCCTAAATTTCCAAGAGCACTAAAGGAACCCACACAATCTCCTTTCCCCACAAATGGCCAGACACTCCTGCAAATAAAAACCAGGCATTTTGACGGCTGAGGCCTTATCCAACCGAGCACCCCACTTCAGGTCACCCAGATTGTCAAAACTTGCTGCTAAAAGCAGACGCAATGTCCCCCCACTTATCACCCTAAGCCCTGCTGGGGGCAAGATTCCCTTCCCCAGTTCCAAGCTCCAAAATTACAAGGGAAAAAAGCGAAAGCTGGAAGCGACTTACTGCGGAGTGCAGGGCCTGGCTGCCGCCCGCCTTCTGGGCTGAGAGAGCGTTCACCTACCTCTGCCCCCTTCCCCACCACAGCGAGCAGTTAAAGTGTCACTTAACATTCTGGAGAATGTGAAATATACCGCGCGGTGTCAACTCCCCAAAACCATAAAACTAACTTTATGGACCTCACGTGACTTTCTCGAGCCAGTGAGGGGTATCTGTCTGACTTCTCGGCGATTTTTACGATCTAACTTCGAGATAAAACCCCTATCCATTTGACATCTAAATGTCATAGCGACTTTTGGGATAGTTTGCTATGGACAGAGGGGGACAAAGTCAAGGGGTGAGGGGGAAGGAGGGCCCAGTAGAGCCTCCAGGACCCTCGGCTGCCTCCTCACCAGCTTCCCCTCCCCCCAAGTCCTGTTAAGAAGTTGGGCCAAGCTGGAAGGGATTGACCGGGTAAGTGTCCACACATGACTCTTGCGCTCAGGGTGGAGGCTGACTTGGATGGAAGAGGACTGGGCCCTGGCCCTGGGCCAGCCTGACTGAAGGGGGAACCTGGGGTCTCCAGGAGGGACCCCAACTCCTAACCAAGAGGGAAGGTCAGTTGGGCCCCTGGAGAGAGGGAACCCTTGATAAATGTAGAGAAGGCTGAGTGGAGAGGAAACCTTTGAAACTGAGGTGATTTTTTTTCTTTCCTTTTTGGACTTACTGGGTGACAGGACTGATTTGGTTTTGGAGCAGGGGATATGGGGGCTGAGCAGGCCTGTGTCACTCTCCAAAGGCCAGGAGTCTCCTGCTTAGGATTTGGGCCCCAAGTACTTTTCCTGAAGAGGTTTCCATGAGCTTTTCTGGCCAGTTGATAGAAGGCCAGAATGGAGTCCAGCTCAGCCTTACCCTTGCCCCAGCCCCACTTGGGGTTTCTGGGCCTCTCAGTTCCTCAGGTATGGAAGCCTGTCCTCTGGCCAAGCACTGCTGGCCAGGCCAGGGATGGGCATTGGTGGCTGAGAGGGACTGCTGGTAAGCATCTTGCCTTCCGTTGCCTGTACCAGATCTCTCAGGACTGGTCTAGGGTGTGCCCGGTGATGGGAGAGACAGGCCCTCAGAGAAAAGACAAGTGGAAGGGTGGTGGAATAGGGGAAACATTTATTTGACTTCAAGGAAAGCTACAAACAAATACCAAAAGCGAATCACTGAGACAGGCCCGGCGAAGACAGATTTCACACATAGCACAGCATCCACTCGCTCACCACAAATGGTCTTGGAAGCGAAATGGGTAGGGGGAGGGGGTGGGTCTGACCCAGACTATCCCCATATTTACAAGCTTGGTTGGGGCCCTCTACGCCAGACCCATGGCTTCACAGAGAAATACACAGACATTTTACACTGAGGATTAGTTTTGTTTCCGTACACACTCCCAGATCAGGCCTTGTGGGGCCTACCTAGGCGGCAGGAACTCAGATCTCACTGTTTTCCTTCCCTCTTCTCACCACCACCCCTTTGGTCCTCCCAGGCCTCTTCCCACCCCAGAACCAAGCCACTTAGAGACTTGGACCTTGGGAGTGAGGAGGGAGGAGGGTGGAAAGAGACTCAGTCATGGACTCCATCTTTGAGGCCAGCTCAGCTGGGCCCCGGGGCTGTGCACGCACTACCCCACCTCAGCTGCTGCCCCTTAGAGAAGTTTAGAGCTGAAACTCAAAATACAGCGATCATCCTTTATAAATAAGTTAGAAGGACATAGATGGGGAGGGGAAAGTTCACATTAAACATGCGAGTTTCTTTTTTTCGTGGGGAAGGAGTGCAACCACATCATTCAGAAACACTGGTGGATTTGGGGCGAGCGGAGGGGGAAATAATAATTATCATCATTATTATGAACAATAATAACAAGATTAACCAGTCCAGGAGAGAGGGAGCCACAGGAAGACCTAAGACCAAACGAAAAAACGGAACACAAGGCCGGGGTGAGGCAGGCTGGTGGGAAGCGGTCCCCAGCGGGCGGCGGCAGCGCGGGGAGGTTGGAGGGGCCGGGACTGGGGGCGGGAGGGGCTCGGCCGCCCAGGGCTCCTCCCGGCGGGCTCAGGGCTGGAAGGCGCTGCCGGCTGTAGCCAGGCTCATACTTTTCAGTTTGTTGTCTTTCTTCCACTTCATGCGCCGGTTCTGGAACCAGATCTTGATCTGGCGCTCGGACAGGCAGAGCGCGTGGGCGATCTCGATGCGCCGCCGCCGCGTCAGGTAGCGGTTGAAGTGAAACTCCTTCTCCAGCTCCAGCGTCTGGTAGCGGGTGTAGGCGGTCCGGGCCCTTTTCCCATCCGGCCCCGTCATATCTGGAGCAGACAGAGCAGCGCCCCAGGCAACGTTATTCCGGTTAAGGGAGGGGGCCCTGGGTGGGAGGGGGCGTGGAGCAGGACCCAGGCGTCCCCGGCACCCAGCTCGCCGCCGCGCCAATCCTCCCCACTCCAGATGCCCCCGTCCGAGCTCTCTTTCCGCCCCCCATCTCCTGCAGCCCCCACTTCTGCCGGCAGCGAAGGCGCCCGGCTTTGTCTCTTGCTCCCTCCCTGTGCCTCACCCTTCGCTGGGCTCAGGCGGCCGCTCGCCCCGGGAGGGAGGAGAGGACTGCACTTTTGCCCCGGAAAGCTCCTTGTACTGCTCGCCCCTCCTTTGCTAGCGGCTGTCTCAGATTTTGGGGGGTAAACAGGACCTTCCCCACATTGCAGAAACCCCATCCCTCAGCGTAAAGCTACTACAGCTGAGAGCATAAAACCCAAACCGAATATAGGAACACACTATTAAAAATACCCCTCCCCAACCCCCCAGCTAGAGACCACTTTGGCTCTGTCCCCCAGTAGTGAGACCCTTCTTAGTGACTTCTCCCCCTCTGGAAAAAAAATAAATCTATATTTGAGGAAAAGCCAAGCTCTCCTGCCCCCCCCCCTCACCCCCAAACGCAGAGGAGGAAAGCCGAGAAGACAAAAAAGGGCGAGAGCGAGAATTACCATGGCTGATGTGAAGCTTCCTCATCCAGGGGAATATCTGCGGAGTCTGCCCCTCGGGCGCGGCTGTGGAGGTGGCCATGGGCTCTGGCTGCGCCCGAGCTAGACTCGGGCTGCTGAGCTGGCTCGCCGCTTCCTCAGGCTCCGAGGACGCGCTGGCCTCGTCTATTTCGGTGAAATTGGCGCTGGAGCTGGCCGGGGTCGCCTGGTCGGAGGGGGACGAGGCAGAGGGCTTGGCGCCGTGGCTGTCGCCGTTGGTGCAGGGCAGGGACTCGGGCGAGGACAGGGAGCAGCTCGACGCCGCTTGCCTGAAGCGGGGCTCCTGAGCCGGCGCGGGGAAGGCGCGCGAGCTCTCGCCCACCGCCCCAAAGTGGCTGGAGGAGGCCGAGGAGCGGTTGACGCTGAGGTCCATCCCATTGTAATTGTAGCCGTAAGAGCCGGTGTGCATGGCAGCGGGATCCCTGTAAGAGCCGCTCAGAGAGCTGCCACTGCCATAATTTAGCAACTGATAGTCCGGGCCATTTGGATAACGCCCCGAGAAGGAGTTTACAAAGTACGAGCTCATTTGGGTGATTTTGGAGGGCTTGATTTGTGGATCGTGGTCGTTATAACCCTGTGCTTCACGATTTATGATGTATTAATGAATTATAGCGATGCACTGTACTTCGTTTTGCTATGTATGCGGCCAAATATGGGGGGGGGGTTGGAAGGGGGATGGGGGGGCGTTAGGGAATCACGTGCTTTTGTTGACCAGTCGTAAATTCTCGCTGATGACCTCAAGAGGTAATTCATGCTCTATGGTTACAAATAATGACGATCCGAGAATCGTTAGGGCCGATTCAATGCGAGCCTCGGAGAGAGGGGGAAAAAAGGAGAAGGGGGAGAAACAGGCGAAGGTTGGCGGCGGCCTCTAAGCAGAGCGCGCCACCTTCCGGCGATCGGCGGGAGCGCGGGCCACAGACCGCCATGGCGGCGACCGCTGCCTCCCTGCTGACTCTCTGCAAACGCCTTGGGAGAAAGAAACCCGGCCTAGGCTCACCCGTCGGGTTTAGTCTTTCAAAGGAGGGATGCAACTGAGCCTTTACTCATTTTTTTGGGTGTGGACCTAGTGTCTCTGTTTGTGTCCTCCTTGCACTTTCCATCATTATTATTGTTATTTTAACTCTGGTAGATAGATGATCAAAGATTGAATTGCTTTTCCCTTTCTCAGGTTTAGCAAATCTCCAAATTGGGGGCGGAAATGGGGACACGGGATGGTTGGAAGGTGTATGAGAAAAACAATTATTGCAGTGGGTTTCCGGGTGAGCTTGGCTTGGCCTGCTTCCTGACCCCGCTGCAGTGACCTATCCATAGCTTACAGGCTTAGCAAGGGTTCGCAGGAGAAGCTTTCCCTTCTCCTGGGCGCCTTAGACGATTGGACCCCTCTTCCTGATCTCCTTCCTATCTTTAGGCAGGTCCAGGCAATGACAGAGCAAGACAAGGATCTCAGAGGAGGAGCTCCTGTTCTACTTGCCAGGGGAAAAATGGTGGAAACTGGTTCTGAGAGTTTCGATCAAGGCAGAACCTGCTCGAGCCTCCTCACCAGACACTGCTATTGCACTGAGAGGCCCCGCTCAAGGCCTCTCGCTGGTGTTGGGGGTAGTTTTAGAATTTGCCAGGCCCTGGGAAGGGGTTCTGAGGACCAGCGGCGCCTTGCTGAGCGTGCTGGGCCTCCGGAGTTCACTGCAGCTGGGGGCCTTCTGCCAGGCAGCTATTTTCTTTAAAAATAAAAAAGGAGAGAGAGGGAGGAGGAAGAAAACAGTGTCCAGTGTCGCCAGATTGCCGTCTGGGTGGGGGTGGGGAGAGAATGGGTCGGTTTTGGTTGAGGGGATGAGAACAGCCCGCTTATCACCTGGCCTCCTGCCCTCAGGACTCCAAGGAGCAGGGGAAAGTACTGCCCTTTCGCTGGGACCTACCACTGTTTTCATATTCCCCTGCTCCTAATAGAGCTCTTACTTGAGGCAGGAAGGGGTGCTGGGAGCCTTTATTTGCCGGAGGAGAGATACCGGTAGCTCCGATGAGAGCCACAGGCCTGAGCCGAACATCCAGGGCGGCAGAGATCTGGCCATGTGGGCAGACCACAGGCCAAGGCATCCCTGGACATGGCAACAGAAAAGCGCTGCTGAGTGACAAAACGCCTATCTTAGTCTCCGCAGGGGCTCTGGTTAGGGTGGTCTCGGTGGTGACCCCCTACCACAGACAAACATGGATAAGCTAGAGAATAGAGGGAAACGGCCCCGTTCTTTCCCCCAAGTCTGCACCAAGAGAGGCTGTCAGAAGCCTCAGAACCCGCGAGGCGTGCTGGAGCCTGGGCGGGAGGCTCCAGCCTTTACAGTCTTTATCTCAACTGTAACTTCCGAGTCTTGTTGGCCCCGCTGGGGCCGAGTAGGGCTCCAGCTTTTGCTTCGAGTTTCGAGTTTCCGGCATGGGGAAGATGGGGTGGGGAGTTTGGGGGGGGAGTGGCAGGGGAGGAGCGGAGGTGAGTGAGCGGCGAGTTTTTACGTCTTTATTATTATCATTATCATTATTAATAATATTAATATTATTACCGAAGTATTTCACGTCCAGAGCTAAGACAAGACTACAAACACAACACATAGAAAATTAATAAAATAGAACTTTGTTTTCTTCTGAGGCTCCTCTTCTTACTTCTAGGTAGTATGTGCTCCTTCCAGTGGCTTTAGGGAGGGGTGGGAGAGAGGTCTGGGGATCAGGGAGTCTTCGAGGCCCCCGCTGAGGGGACTGCGAATCTACCATTGAACCGTGCACGAGGGACATGGACGAAAAGAGACGCGACTCGGACAAGAGCGTTTTGCTCTGCTTCCAGGAAACATCAAGTGAGTCCGGTCCTCAGTTCTCACCGTGGAGCCTGATCGGGCTGAAGCGGGTTCATCCTCCGCGGAGATGGAGATGGAGGGGTGCAGGGGTGTTGGGTGGGCTCAGGCGCAGTGGCCTCTAAGCACCCAGCAAGAGCTCTGCGGGCGGGGGCTTCCAGGAGAAGGCTGGGCGCCGCCTGTCATGCGCTGGCGAGCAGGTCCCCTGGTTCCCCCGCCCGCAGAGTCTTCTTGGGGCTCTCTGAAGCCCTCGTCTCCCCACTGGCCTCTCCCTTCGCGTCCCCCCACCCTCCCTTTCCAGCGTCTTCATTCGGCTGGCTTTTCTTCCTCCTCCTCCGCACTGAGCTGAGACGCACTGAGCAGTTTGCTCTCCTTTTTCCACTTCATGCGCCGGTTCTGGAACCAGATCTTGATCTGGCGCTCGGTCAGGCACAGGGCGTGCGCGATCTCGATGCGCCGCCGCCGGGTCAGGTAGCGGTTGTAGTGAAACTCCTTCTCCAGCTCCAGCGTCTGGTAGCGAGTGTAGGTCTGGCGGCCTCGGCGGCCGCTGGGCCCAAATGAAGAACCTGTTAGCAGAGAGATGCTGAGGTCTGGGGGTCAACGGGGCTAGAGTCCCTCTCCCCCACTCGACCCTCAAACGCAGATTCTAGCTTGTCCCGGGATGCCCTCCGCTTGCCATTCTCTGCCCCCCTTCCTCTCTCTCTTCTCCAGCGCCCCCTCCAGATTCCCTCGGGTCTCCTAGGCCTGCGCCTCGGTCTGGACTCTTGGTGGGGGATGGGAGGAGCAGTTTAAAATCCCACCTGGGTCAAGGAGGAAGGGCTGGGGCAGTACTGGCCAGGTGTGTCTCTTCCTAGCCGCATCTTCTCTTTCCATCTATCTAGCTCCCCCACTAGCCTGTGATAGATTCCGGTCCTTAATCCGTAATGACGTGGATCGATCCATAGTGGGCATTAACGGCTCCTCACTTTCTTGTCCCGCTAATGGACATCAATTTGGGACTTAAGGCGGACAAATAATCCAACCTGAGACCCAGGCGCCTGCTTCCTTCCCTCCCCCCCCCCCAATTTCTTTCTCCGTTTCTTCCCCTTATTCTCCCTCCCTCCTCTAACTACCACCCCTTTCTGGTGCCTCATCCGTCCCAGCCTCCCCCACCCCTAGGGAAACCCAGTCCCGGACAGACTCAACTCTCCCTCGCCAGCGTCACGCCGCCCCCTTCCCATGACGCACTCGGTTTTTAATGGAACGGTCTTTGGGTGGGGGACGCGACCAGGGCTGGGGCGCAAGAGAAAGCCAAGCCAGTGACGGTCGTCCCTGCCCTCTTCCCCGACCGGGAATCCTAGCCCTGGCCTGACGCTCCGGGAGAACGCACTGGCTCCCCTGGCTCAGAGTGCAGCTGGGACTTTGCAAACTTTGTAACTCCTGCGGACGAGAGGGCAGAGCAGGAGACCGCGGCAGGCGGCCCATCCTCCCGTATCTCCTAGCGAGAGGCCCACCCAGCACCCTGTGGCAGAACGGAATTGCAGGGAAGGGGGGGAGCCTTCCTAGTTCTTTCCCGGGGGCGGGGGCGCGCGGGGGTCGCGGTGGCCGCGGGAAGTCTCACTCACTGTTGCACGAATTCATCCGCTGCATCCACGGGTACACCGGAGTGGAGCACTTCTGCTCCTCGGTCTCGCCGAACACGCTCTTGTCCTGCGCGCAGTCTGACTTCCGCGGTTCGGGGTGGAACGGGGGCGGCTCGTCGGCGCCCGAGAGCGCGCAGGCCGACTCCTTCTCGCGGTAGAAGGCCGGCGCCGGCCCGTAGTCGCAGGGCGCCGCTCGGCCATAGCCGCCGCCAGCCGGCGGGTAATAGGAGGAAGCCGCAAAGCCCTTGTCCTGGCCCGGCCCGGGCCCATAGGGCGCGGGGTAGTGCCTCAGGGGGTCCGCATAGCCCGACGAGTAGAGCGGTAGCTGGCCCAGGAAGGACTCCTGCCCGCTGGCCAGAGTGACGGGGAAGGTGGAGTTCACGAAATAGGAACTCATTGGGAGGGGAGGCGCGCACGGCCGCTGCAGCTCCGCCGGGTTTATGATTTGTTGTGTTTTATAGTCCGAGCGCCGCGCCTATTAGTAGTATATCTGAGATTGGGTTTTAGCTGAGGGGGGATGGCGAGGTGCCAGTGAGGGCCAGAAGGAAATACAACCATCTGATCCAACACTGACCAATGGCAGAGGCAGGAATTGTCAAATAGCACCCAGGAGGAGCGCAGCCCGCACGAGGGACTCGCGCACAAACCTATCAACCTTTTTTTCCCTCCTTCTTCTCCTTCTCCTTTCTCTCTCTCTTCCCCCAACAACACAACGCGTCCTGTTCCACCTACGTAGGATCTGCGAGAGGCGTCTGTGCTTTGAAGGCGGAGGGAGCATTTGGATTGAGACCACCCCATCCCCCAGTGATTAAATAAATATATCCCTCCCCTTCCACGCAGGATAGGAAAAAGTTAATTGTGTTTTCAGAAAAGTTAACCCCTGCGTGGCTTGAGCCCCATCCCTTCAAGGGGAGGGTGGTTTAATGTTCTGAGTCTCCAATCGCAACCTCCTTCGTTAAGAAAGCAGGAAAGGAAAGGTCGGTTTCTACGGTTTTGTGTTGGTAGAAGGCCAGAAGAGTTCTCCGCTAATAAACAGCGTTTTTAAGAAAGACAGAAGCCAAGAAGAAAACAGTCTCTTTCCCAGGTTTTGAAAACCGTTTCTCCCGTTTCTCAGATGCACTCTGTCTTCTCCAGCCCTAGTTTACTATTCCTGCATCTTCACAGCTCTTGTGCTCACAGGGCCTGCTGTCCAGAAGACCCAGAAAGCTAGCAGGGAGGAGGGCCCGAGCCCAAGCTTTTCCCTCTGGCCCTAGGGCTCCTCTGGGAGTTTCTAGGAAAGCTGCGGCTGACTACACCCACCCAAGACATCCTCCTGGTTCCACTATGCACCCTTGAGCGATGGGGAGGGAGGGAGGCTCCTCGAGCCTAGGATTGTCTGATCCCTGTCCTGCCCTCAATCCTCACCCTACTCCCACCTCCTACCCCTAAAGACAGGTATATCATAAGCTAGAGATAATCTTGGGAATCAAGGGTGTTGATTCCTAAGTCTGAATACAGGAAAGAACCTTCTTCCTCCTCCACATTGGGGTCCTCAAACCCTCCTATATTTGAGTCAATCAGAGACTCCCAGGAAGAGAGAGGTTCTTGTTCCTTTCCTAGGTCTCTCCAGAACCTGGCTATTCTTTTCAAAAGTGGTTACGTCCCAATACTTGGTTTAGTTTTATAGGAAGGGAGAAGTGTTCAGCTCTCCTGGGGCTCAGCAGGCAGCTTACAACTGCCAGCCCCATTCGCTCTCCAGATGCTCACAACCCTTCTGCCTGTATCTGAGTGTCTCTCATGTTGTATCCCCTGCTTTCCTGCCATACAACATCAAGTGTGTGTGAGTCTCTGATTCTCTGGTTTGTGTTCTCTCTTTTCTCATCTGAGGAGAATGAGCATTGAGGCCAGGCTGGAAGACCGAGTCCTGATGTGTTTTCAAGATTCAAACACACACCCTTCACCAGGAATTAGAGTGACCACATTTGGACCTGCGGTCAGGACTGGGACAGGGTGGAGGACAAAGTCAGATGATGACAGGACCAGGTTGACCCTCCTCTCCCTGTTCTCTGGGCCCCTTTTAGTGGTCAGCCCACTGACAATGGAACAGGATATTGGAAAATGTAAAGAGATCTGGGGCTGTGGACCACAGGTGGATCTTTAGTTGGTTACAGAGAGCCAACAAGGCTCTCTGAACTCCCAGGGACAACTTCTAGGCTGCACCTTCATGGCCAAATGGTGATCCCTGGATGTTCCACCAACCACTTCCTACCCAGACTCTGTGGGGAGGGGAGCTAAGGATGATTTAAGAAAATCAGTTTGAGCCTCCTAATGATGGACTCATAAGTGCTGCCTTCTAGCAGTGACTGGGCCCACTTTCAGAGAGGAGGGGGGAACACTTGGGCAGAATGAGTAAGGTGGGGAGGAGAGTGCCTGGGTATGCATTCCTGCTCCTTGCTTCTGAGGCTGGGCCTCAGCTCTCCCTGCCTCCTCCCAAGCCAGGATGTCCCTATCTTAGGGCTAGAAGGTGTGGGTTTTCCTCTGGAATCTTGCTGTGCTGCAAGAGGGAGTCATCCCCTGCGAGAGCTCCCTTATCCTTAGAATCGAAGCCCCCAAATTAACCTCACCTCTGCAGGTTGCCTGTGGTGAGATGGGGCCGCAAAGGCAGGGCTGGGCGCCTGGAGTCGGCATGAAAGGAAATAGCGCCTCATCGCTCTTATCTAAGCCCAGAGGTATTTATGAGCGTTTATTCGTCTGATCCGTTTGTTTGGGAGAAAGAGCAGGCGGGCAGGGCCAGGCCAGAGGCCGCCTGGTTTCTGGAGCCAGATCTCTATGAATCTGTCTGTAGTTCTGTCCACGAAGTCTGTCTCCAAGGGGGAATATGTAAATACACAGCGGCACAGCCTTCTGCCGACCTGGGGTATCTCTCTCTGCCTCAACGAGGAAGTATGTGCATAGAGAGATAGAAATAAATGTGTACCAAGGTTTGAGTACACTGCAGAAAGATTGTATAGAAACCCCACAGGCAGGATTTATAATTGTAATTTTTCTGTGCTGTGAATCTGTGGTGCTGTGAACACACACACTCCAGCTGGCAGGGATGTGTCTAAGTTATATTCAGCTCAGGAGTAAAATTCTCCTGTACCAGTAACCTCAGAGAGGGATATTTGCCTGTGGGGAAGGAGGTGGATGGGGAGGGAGATTAAGACATTGTCCAGGCTTCCCATTTCCTCTTAGCTACAAAACTCCCCTCACTCCCAGTTTTTTCTTTAGATTGTGAGCACCTTCCTCTATCCCACTCTCAATTCTGGCTGGACTGGGGCAATGAAAACATCTCAACCTACTCGTTCCCCTGGACTCTGATCATTTAAGTTTGGGGGATATAAATGCCCTCAGAGAGAAAAGTGTGGCTGCTCCTAGCCTTTGGGACCTATTTAGCTGGGATGGAGCCTAAAAATCAGAGGTCCAATGCGTGATACAAAGACCTTATTTCCATTATGCAAATTAGCGGCCTGGTCTCTGATCTTGGGGAGGGTGGGTGGAGTGGGCCGGTAGGGCTTGTTCTTCCTGTTTCCTCCCCCCCCCCAAGTCTGTGGTACCCTAAGAGCCCTGAAGTGTTTCAACTCCCAGCACTAGCCGCCTTTCACTGGGTGCCTGTTCTTTGGACTGCCTACAGAAAACGCCTCTAAGGGGCCCATGGCTCTCTGGCTGAGCTTCCACTGGTGCCACTGGGCTGGGCTTGCTAGATGCCAGCAAGTCATTCCTCTGCCCATTAACTGAAAGGGCTTCTCCTGCCGCCCAGACTCAGAGGCTCAAAGGCATGGGGGCACAGTGCTTTGCCCCCTGCCCCCCAGGGTCTCAACCCCTGCAGCTCCTCCATCTCTGGGCCAGACCCTAATAACATCTCAGTCTGCTTGGCACCACAGGCAATTTCCTGGAGCAAAAACCAGGGCCACAGCACCTTGAAAGGAGCGACCAGAGCTTCCTCCTGAAGCTTGAAAGCCCGAGCTAATCAGTAACCCATGAGACAGGGGCCAATATTCACAGGAGGCAATAGAGGCCATTACCCTTGCCCCCCCCTTTGCCACCCCCTTCTGCGAAAGCGGTTGGGTTAAGAGGGTGTGTATGGGGGTTCAGCAGAAGCGGAAATTACAATGGTTTGGCTCCTTAATGATTGATCCCCACTTCCACTCCCAATTTCTTTCCAAGGAATATTTATGTCGATTTCGCTTGAAACGATAGGAAATGGGGGAGGACCCGCACTCACTTGCAGACACCAACAGTTTTCCGAAAATTCAGCTCAATTCCTTCACCACCGACACACAGCACCAAGAACTGGCAAGACCCATCAGCCACCCGGGAGAACACAGACCCGGTTTGTCTTTTGACAGCCGAGTGGAACTGCTGGGGCCAGCTCCTCTCCGGCTAACCGCCTCCATTGGCCGAAAAGAAAACCAAATAAACCTTCAACAGCCTTGGCCTCCGATCTCCCCAGCGGCCCGGGCGATCCACTCGCGCGCCTGGGGGGTGGGGAAGCTCGAGAGTCTGTTCCCCCACCCTTCGGTCGGTCCAGGGCCCCCTGCCCGCGGGATGCAGTATTAGTCCTCTTTAAATATGCCCTAGAAAAGGCCACTTCCCCGGCCAGCCTGCTAGGATGGGCAGGCGCGGGTGAGTGACACTTGTTCTCTAATCCACAAGCACACGGGTGGGAGTCAAGAGCCAGTGGAAAGCGCCCATCAGGCCTCGACGACCCCGAATCCCGCCGAGCCTGAGCGGCGGGGACTGCGAGCGTCGGGCGCTGTTCCCGCAGCGTCTTTAGGCAGGCGGCGCCGAGGGCGCATGTCTCCGAACGGACGGTAGATGGCAGCAAACCGCATAATTTGGGTCAGAGCAAACTGTAGAGCAAACTGTCTGAGGGAATGATTTATACCTCACCAAGACTACAGGAGAAAAAGCTCTTTAGTCTGGGTGTGTTTGGGGAATTTTTCCTTTGAGAACAGGCTCTTAAGTGTCGTGGGTGCTGGCCGAGAACTTCTCTCCCTATGCAGTTGAACCCCCACCTCCACCTCCGGAGTCCAGCCCTGGCCTGCTTAAGAGAAAATCTACCTGTGCTTGGGGGTGAGGGTGGAGGTGGGGAGGGCCTCCAGCGCCACAAGTGGCTGCGCCCCTGTCTTTCCAACTCAGCCCTGAGAGAACCAATATTCCCCACACCCAGACCCAGACCCAGCAGCCAGACTCTGGGCAAGCCGTGAGACCCAAGACTGAACGCTTCTGATCTGATCTTTTAAAAAAGAAAACCAAGCACTTATTCATGCAAATCAAAGTAAATCAATCTCTCATACCCTCTGTACCCAAAGTCGCTTATCTATTGGCTCCCAGCTCCTTCAGAAGTCCTTCACTCTATTTTAGGTCCTCACCTAGGGCTGGCGCCCTCTTCCAGCACCCCCTCCCCCCAGATACTTTCGGAATCTTTCTCCTGTCCATCCATTCTTCTCGCTCCCTCTCCTCCCTCCCTCCCTCCCTCAGGAGGCCTGGCTGGGGAGTGAAATCGGGCGCCAGAGGGAGGGACAGGGCTAGCTGTCTGAGCTCAGCACCAAGCAGATTTCCAGTCCCGACAGCCTCAGGTTCCCCAGTTGGGATTTCTTGTTATTTTCTTCTTCTACTTTCCTGTTTTTGTTTCTGCTTCCAAGCCTAAAACAACATGACACTAAACAGATTCTTCATATCCACCACATCTGGAGCCAAGAAAGTTTGAAATGTTTCTGCATCCGACACACACATGGCAATGTTCTCCTCCACCGAAATCCACACTCTCATCCCAATAAAACACAAATAATAGAATCAATACTGCACAGAAATCAACACACTGTCACCTACCGCATGAAAACCACAAAATTGTCTCCCTGCAGAGCGAGGCTCCCTCCTGCGGGAGTGGCGAGAGACCTGGGCATTCTCAGGCCGGCTTCCTGGGAGTCCCCTTGATTCGGGTGCCTCCACCTACACCCCTGTAATTTCAGAAATGTCTCCGAAGGGAGCTAATGAGCATTTCTCTGTGAGTTGTTCTTTCTGTTCTCTCTAGCCGCCGCCTCGCCCTCGCTGGCCTCTGCGGAAATTCCAGGCCCTCCAGAGACCAGAGCGTCCCTCAGCGCCACCGCCCCTCTGCCAATGCCGCCGGGAAACCGCCCATCAACCGCGAAACCAGCACCGGCAAGAGACTGCGCCGGGGCAAAAGGGGGAGCCAGGATGAGGGCGGGATGGTTGGAGGGGGAGGGGGCATCCACCCACAGAGGCCATTTCCAGGAGCTGTTGAGAGCATCCTGAAGCCCAGACACCCCCATCCTTTCTCCCGCAGCCCCTCCGTTGAGCCTCTCCTCCCATCTTAAAGGGGCGAGGTAGAGCTGGCTCCTGTGGCCCCTTTGCGATCTTCTTCCCGTCTCCCCTGCCCAGGCTCCCCCTCCAGGAAGCGGCCACCCCTTTCTCGGTTGCTCAATTTCCTGGGAAGCCTCTCCCTGCAGCGCCCAGAGGTGGGGTTCAGCCCCTTCTTGGAGGGGGGGGAGGGAGACAAACCCAAGCCCCACCCCCTACAAAATCTCGATGCAAAAGAATAAAAAGAATTGTAGAATCTCTCTTACCTTTGTAGACCTTGGGAAATTTTCCCTCCAGATTGAAGAGGGTGGAGAGAAAAAGGGGGAAGCGTTCGGGTTCTTCTTCATCTTCCAGATAATATTGTCCCAACCTGAGTGCCGTTGCCTCCCCTTCTCTGACTTGGGAGAGAGGGTGTTTTGCTTTTCTGATATTTGCATAGAAAATGGAGTAAGTTCTGGCTTTGAAAAATGATATCAGCCTGCGATTCTGGGCAGATTGTCCATTTACCCTCCATGATGACTAAAATCCCAGGTCAGCAGGCAAATTAACTTAGAAATTAAAATTATTTTTGGTTTTCCCTTTTGTGTAATTTCCACCCCTCCTTCTCTCTCTCTCTCTCTCTCTCTCTCTCTCTCTCTCTCTCTCTCTCTCTCCCTCTCTTTTCCTCTCCACCTCGATCTTCCTCTCTCTCTCTCTCTTGCTTTATCGAGCTGATACTGAAGTATAAAAATATCAAGAGGCTGGAGCCCTGAAGGACGACAGTGCTCCGACCTAGGTGTGGTGTCCAAAAGAATGCTGCATTATAACCACCAGGGAAATGATAAAAAGTTCATGTTCACGATCGCCCGGCCACATGACCGGCGCCGGCCAATCGCTGGATTCAACCACTCATAAACTTCTATCACAAAGTTGTAAATTTTCATAAAACAACAAGGAATTTATTGCATTTCTTCATGGCTGCTCCACCAGCAACCCTTTTCTCAGTCGCCATCTTCTTTTCTTCTCCTTCTCGCTTTTTGGGGAAATCCTAACCTGAGAAGAGATAAGATTTAGGGTGCAGGGAATGAGGCAGAGGAGACACAAGGGTTCAGCTGGGAAGAGGGTTCTTTTTGGAACCTCCTGGTTTCTCAAAGGAGCTTGTCCTCCTCCTAGTAAAAATTCACTCCAAATTCTCCACACTGGGGCTGTTCTAAAGCAATTTAGGGGTGAGTCAGAAGCAGTAGCAGTTGCCAGGAGCATCTGGGCGAAATGAAAGCTTCAGTGTCCCTCTCGTTCAGCCCCTACATTCCTAACCCTTAGAGATGCTGGAACTCCCACCTGTGAAGCTTGTGGCACGGCAGGTGTGGGGACCCCAAAGCCCCTAGAACCTAGCTTTTGCCCCAGGAGCAAAGGTGTCCTGGATGCACACTGAGTCAGACAGTCTAGCAACCAACCGGATTCCCTATCTCTGCTCCCCGGAAACTGGAGAGTCCAACATTCACATGCGGCTAGATCCAGGGTCTCAGAGCAGCTGCGCCGGATCTCCAGGGGTTTCTGCGGTCATTGACCAGGGGAATCTAGAGGTTTAGGGGGTTTTAGTTACAAATTCGAATTAAACGAATTTTTCTAAAACACACATTTCTTCCAGCCTATCTGGATTTCCCTCTCTTTTTTCTTTTCTTTTTTTTTTTTTTTACGTTTTAAATAATCCAGAGTTCATGATCGAATAATTATTAAAAATCAGCTGAGCGGTTAGGTTTCACGCCCCCCATGTTTTGTTTTGTTTTTGTTTTTGTTTTTGTTTTAAATTCAATCAGGGGCTGTTTTGGAGCAAAAACAAGCAACAAAATTCACCCCGTGTTTCCCACGTCCCCTGAAAAATTCCCGTATTTTGAATTCAGTCACAGAATCCAAATGTATGAAACGAAATAACCTTCCCAACAATGTTTTCTTTTTCCCTCTCTTTCTCTGTACTCGGGAGAAGATTCCAGGTTACCGGCAGCGGGAAGAGCCGGCAGGAAGGCGCGGAGGGAGCCAGCCTGGACTCACTGGCGGTCAGCTCCGAGCGGAGCCCAGCGCCGGTGCGGCAGCCCTAACGCCCTAACCCGGTAAACTCGCCGCTGACTCCTGCTCCCGGGGCTCGTCTCTCTCCCCAAATATTAAAGTTTAATTTGGTTCTCTGTATTATTTTAGAATTAGATGAACTAAAATAAATGAAAGTAAAATAAATTAAAGAACCGAATAGCTCTGGAGGAAAGTATTTGTCTAGCGAGAGCTAGCTAGGGGAAGGCCAGGCGCCCCTGGTTGGAGGCCTCTCTACGAGGGCTTTCGGCCTCAGCCTGCTGGCCCCTGCCCAACACCACCCTAGCGTCGGCAGTGGATTTGGGTGGTCACCTTCCCTTTCCTTGCATTCTTCCTTCCTCCGGCCTGGCCTAACCTGGCATTTTAGATTTCTGTTCTCTGTTTGTTCCCCAGCGGCAGCACTGCCCAAGCACAGCAGCCTGGTTTGAAGCCAGATGAAGGACTTGTGGAACTGTGGGGATTTTTGTTTTGTTTTGCTTTGCTTTATTTTGTGAATGTGTGTTGACGGAACATGTGGGCTCATGGATGTATTTACTTGGGGGCAAATGTGAGTCTGTGTGTTTACAAGTCAATGTGTGAATGCACATTGGTACATATAAATGTGTCTGTGAGTGTGAGTGTGTGTTTCCTTGTGAGTGTGTGGGAATGCAAATGCCAGTGTTCTGGATGTGGAGTTGGAATGTATGCATGCCTGTATGTTTATTTGTGAATCTGTGTGTTTATTAGTAACTGCTGTGTGTAATGTCATTCTGTAAATGTGTGGGATTGTGTGTGCTTGTGTAGGTCAATGTATGGGAGGGCTTGTAAGGGAATATGTGTGATTTGGGGGTTCACTTGAGGCATCAGGGAAAACAGCAGACCCTATCATAGAAAAAAAAAAAAGGCCAGCAGAAGTTGGAGAAAAGGGGCGCTGTGACATATGACCAACCTCAACCCCCTTCAACTTTAGATACAGAAAATAGAGCATGTGTTTGTTTTTAATCACTTTATTGTTTTATTTATATTCAGCCTTCAAACACACATAGAATGAAAAGAGGGCCTCAGGGTCTGGTGGGAACAGGATCACTGGGCAGCCCAGGTACACAGAGGGACACTTCAGCTAGTGGGAGGGCCCTGGGGCGCCTTAGGGCCCCTTCAGTGCTGCTAGTGGAAAGCGGGACTCAGCAGGATGGGGACCACGTTTAGTCCAGAACCACAGACCACAAAGACATCGTCAAAGGAGGCTTACAAAACAGCGAGATTTTACAAAGACCTACAATAGCAACATAGAAAAGGGAAGCAGATTCCAAAAAGCTACAGAACAGGTAGATGATGTCCTTCCCATATTGTACAAAAACAAACCCGACGGCCTTTCCTATAGGTAGTATTTTTTTTTCAGTGTCAAGAAACCAAAAGTTCACCTTTCTCCTTAAAAAATGTTAACTACTTTCCATTTAAATATCCCCCCCCCCTTTTGATCTGAGTTTCCTGGTTCAGTTCCCAGAAGTGGGTTTCTTCCTTCTCTCCCTCTTTCGTCTCTCTCCCACTGCCCTTCTCAGTCTCTCACTCTTCCTCGTCCTCATCGGCCTCGGCCTTGTCCTGGCCGGTGGCTCCGGAGCCCGCGGTCTTGTTTTCTTTTTTCCACTTCATGCGCCGGTTCTGGAACCAGATCTTGATTTGTCTTTCGGTCAAGCAGAGCGCGTGCGCGATCTCGATGCGCCGCCGCCGGGTCAGGTAGCGGTTGTAGTGAAACTCCTTCTCCAGCTCCAGCGTCTGGTAGCGGGTGTAGGTCTGGCGGCCTCTCTTGCGGTCGGTGCCTGAGCACAGTATTTACAGAAAAATCAGTGCGCGAGGGAAAAGCAAGCGTGCCTACCTTCCTCCTAGGCCCTGGGTGATTTGGGGGTGGGCGGTTTGGATGATCCCATTTTCTCACTAAACAAAACTCTCACTTTTTATACCACCCCCCTTCCATTAATGTGCAGACCAGGGTCCCGGCCTTCTGAGGTAGACATTCCCATCTTCCATCCAGGAAGGCTTTGGGCCTGGGACTTCTAAACCTAAGCTCTAAACTGCTGACCCTTGAAGCCCCCCTCCTCTCCGCCCCCCCACCTCCAGAGACGAAGCAAGAATAATTTTCCCTGACTCTTGGGAGGAATCAGACACCCCAAGACTTCCCTCATAGAGGCTGAATCGGGTGGACTGGGGTGGGAGGATGATGGAAACCTGGAAACCGTGCACATGACTGGAGTGGGGCTCCAAGCCTAGCCTGAGTGCATGACCCAAAAAAGAAAAAGGAGACAAAGGCGCCTCACAGGTCCAGTCACCAACACCAGTCCCCCCCCCACACACACACCCAGCAGCCTATTGCAGAAGGATGAGGTGAGAATTTGCTAGTTTCCTTGGAGTTGAGTCCACCTGTGAGCAGCTGCCCTCTGATGACAATTTTCCAGTGAATGAGGGGTTCAGACAGGACTAGCCTGACTTGTCTGCCCACCTGCCCAGACACCCCTGTGACACTAAGCAATCTTGAGGCCTCTGAGCAGGCACAGGGAGAGAGGAGAGACAGTAGCCTGGGTTGGGATGGGATGTGATGTGTTTGAGCTGTGGGACTGGGTGGCAGAAGAGAGCCCCCGAGATTAGGCCCAGAGGCCTGGGGGAGGATTGCGCTGGAGGAGGTGCTGGTGCCAGTACTACTAGGAAAAAGACAGGAGGGAGGAGAGCGGAGGCCCTAATTTCAAGCCAGATGAAAGCCAAGTTGAAATGTTTATGAGTAGAAAAATTGGGGCTTTGATAAATCAACTGGAAAGGCAGTTGAGTTATGGAGCAGGCAATGGGGGGTGTAACCACCAGTCCTGATGGTGTAAGTGCTGGCCCCCAACCAGAGCTAGGTCTGGAGCCTCTGCCCACACGTCTTGTACCTTCTAGATTTGGGGTTGGCCCCTGAGTGGAGGGCAGCATAAAGGAGGCTTACTGGGCAGGTCTGGCAGAAGACCCCATTGGAGTCCCGGTCTCACGGTCCCTGCAGCAGCTGGCCCGTGGCCTATACTCCCTAACTCTTGACTGGGCTGCACGGACTTTTAGTCCCTCTCCCAAGAGGACATTCACCTTTTTGGAGGGATACCTGTAAACTTACTGACCAGCACTCCAGGGAAGGTGCCCTCCTAGAAAGGTCACCTGAGGAAAGCAGCTGTACTCCCCAAGAGACCTCTGCCCTCTGGGGGTGGGGTTCAGGAGCCTTATCCTTTTTTTACCTTAGCCCCCCTCTCTCCACCTGCCTCTGACTCCGTGTCTTTTGCTGGATCCTCTCTTCTCTGGTACCCCCTCCTCCACGAGGGCCTCTCGAGCCCACCTCTAATTGTCCAGAAGGGAATAATGGGGGAGCGGGGTTGGCTGGAAGGAAGGGGGAGGGGAGAATTGCTCAGAGCTGCAGGCCCCCTCCCCTAGACCTTACCAAGCAAGGACTGGGGGACACACCCAGAGCTGAGATCCCAGGCGGAGAGGGGAGAGGGAGGGGAAGACCCTAATGGCTATTCTCTGCAAACCCCAGCCTTCCTCCGCAAGACAAACGGCCTCGTCTCCAGTCCGTGCCGGCGCGGCTGATAAATATTTAAAGCTAAAAGGCCAGGAGGAAGGGTTGGGGGTGGACTGGGGGCTCTGAGCGCCTAGGCGTCGGCAGAGAGAGCTCCGCCAGGGAACCAGAACAAGTCTGAGAGCACAAGCAAAAATGGAGGGGGCTGAGGGGGTGCCGTGTCCCCAGGGCCGACCTCCTGCCGGCAGCACTCTGGACACGGAAAGGGACATCTGGCCAGGAAGAGGGCGGCTTCTGGGGAATGTGGCCGGCCACTGTGGCTCCGGGCGGCTCGGTGCGCGGCATTACCTGAGCTTCGCATCCAGGGGTAGATCCGGAAGTTACTCTCGGCCGCCAAGTCCGAGTCCCTCTGCTCCTTAGCGCCCGCCGCCTTGGCGGGGTCGCCGGGACACACCCCGGAGAGGTTCTGCTCAAAGGGCGCGCAGTGCATGTTGAAGGAACTCGGCTCGAGTCCGTAGCCGGCCGCGTAGACGCCGGCTGCACTCTGGCCCGCCATGCCCCCCCCGCCGGGGTACAAGCCCTGCATCGAGGCGGCGAAGGACGCGCCCGAGCCAGCTCCATAGCCCGGGCGCTGGGGGTTGGAAGCAAACGCACAAGAAGTTTGTTCGGGGAAGGCTCCGGTAGCGAAAACCGAACTTGCGGCTGGATATTTAGAAAATAAAGCATTCGCATAATACAATGAACTCATAATTTGGCCGGATGATTTGTAGGCAGGGACGTTTTAGTGTCGGTTTTACGAGATTCCTTGATATATTACAGAATTAGAGTCCAGATTTACACCAAAAAGGACCCCCTTTTTCCTCTCCAGACCACGTGACCCCGCCCACGTGACGTGCCCTCCGCCAATGATCGGGCAGCCTCCCCACGGCTCCCGGTAATGTGGAAAAAATTGTGTGGCGTTGGATTTATAAAATATGATCAATAATGAATGGGAAAGCCAAGCTCTGTGGATTGGGGCTGGGGGCTCAAGGGTCGTTGTCGACCCCCGTGGGCAAGAGGCAGCTTGCAGGCGAGATTCGGGGAGGAAGAAATTGAGTGGAAGAGAAAATAAATAATCTCGGAGCGATCCGTATTGTCACCCCCCACCACCATCCTCCCAAGCCTTTAACCCAGCAAGAAATAAATGTAGAGATCGTTCACAATTGGGTGGGGGGTGGGGATGGGGGCAGGTCGTAGCTTTTATTAGTCCGGACCAGTTCAGCCTGGCCAGGCCTTTGGGGCAACTTGGTATGGTTCTCCTAAGGTGAGGAGCTAGGTGACCCTGGGCTCACGGCTGTTTCGGTGATGCCCCGACACACGGGAAGGGATGGAGCGAGGCTTCAGGGGCGCTCCTCAAGGCAGGGGTCCAGGCCCTGGGGGGGGGGGCTTTAAAAAGAGGTTTGAAATTTTAAAAAGGAAGGCAGTGGGGTGGATGAGAAGGGAGAGAGGAGGGTGGCCAGGGTGTTCAGCTCTTCTGGTTCCGGGAGGCGGATGCCTCAGTGGAGCCTGATTACCCGAGATGCAGAGGGAGCGAAGGAAGGAAGGAAGGAAGGCGGCCAGCCACGACCTCGGAGCTGTGTGAAGGTAGCCAAGACCCAGAGAGGGACAGGCAGGGAAGCGCATTTCCCCTCTCGCCCTGCTCCCCACCCCGCCCCCGCGCCCACCAAAGTCCGGGGAAAATAAAATATAAGCCTGTTCAGCAGTCCTGCACGCTACCCTTACCCGCCCCCACTCTTCTACCCCTCCCACCCAGGAGACGGCATCCGGAGACAAAGGGGAGGTAGCGGGGAAATAGCCACCAGCCCGGGCACAGCTCTCCAGCATGGCCTGGAAGCCCGGGTCTCTGGGGCCGGCAGTCTCCGAACACGAAGGGGGGGGCTTCTCCCGGCTCCCCTCCCTCATCCCTCTCTCCTCCAATCACGCGCAGCCGCCTCCCTCTCCCCCCCCCCCGCGCGCCCCTGGGCCGAGGGACTCGCACCACCTGCCTCCAGCCCCCGCCCCCTCCTCTCAGCGGCCTGGCCTGGAGGGCGCAGGAGCCCAGTGACCGGCTCCCCCCAGCTCTGCAAGGCACCAGGAGCAAATGAGGAGCGCGGGCCGGGCCAGTCTCGGGTTCTCGCTTGTAAACTTTATTGTAACTCTTCCGCCCTTTTCAGGCGCAGACAACAGAACAAAGTATAGAGGAACAACAAAATATATAATTAGCCCTCCCTCCCCCCAGTAAAGCAATTCACGGGTACAGGATACATTCTCTTCACAGTAAACCTAAGAACACTTTTAACAATTGCCCACAGCGCGCATGCTAACTAAAGTAACCTTTTTTGAGAAACACT